TAATGCCTTTTCATAAACTGCTCAGGACAATAGCTTCTCAAATATGGAAATGCTATATATGTATACAAGAAATTCAAAAATACCCAGGCATTTTAAAACTGACTACTGTGGTAAATGCATTTAATAGGGGAAGAGGAAGGTATTTTCCGTTGCATAACTCTTTGTTCATGAAAATTTCCATACACTTTTTAAACTATTGAATAAAAGTTTGCTATAAATGCTGTTGCGTTTCAAAATATATTTAATCCTAAATCAAGAATCTCTTATCCATGACCCAGTGTTGTCCCTTTTGTTGTAATATCTTTAAAGGTTTTTAACTTCGGCATTGCCAGTTACATACATTGTAGCCCTCTCTTGACAGCTATTTGAGTGAGCTATTCAGCTTTTATGTAGAATTGAAAGCATTGCTGTAAGAGTGGAATTAAAGGTCTAGCTTTTTTTCCTGTGTCCCTGAGAGGGTATTTTGGTTTCTGGAAGTAGAAGCAAGTTCCACTTGGGGTTTAAAGAGATATTTTAAAATCTGTTTGAACATAATCCAAAAGAGCACTCCCAGGTCTAGGTATTTTAGTATTAAGAAAGAATGCAGAATTATTTAAGTATCTAATAAGCTGCTGCAGTAAGGACATGAAGATATGGTGGTACAAATGCAGAAAAAATTATTTGTGGGTTTACTAAAATCAGATCTTAATTAAGGAAGAGAGAGATTTATACTTAAATACATCTTTTTAAGGAGCAGACCACTGAAAGGGGTTTTGTGTGCCTAAGTGGTTTTATTTATTAAATTCAGGGTTGTAACAATTATTCCTGGTGTCATACATGTGTATATGTTATATCAATCCTGCAAGGCAGGTAATACAATGTGGCATATCAGGAAAAAAGTCTGGTTCAAAAAATGTTATCTATTGTTAGATATCAAGAACTTGAAAGAGTATTTCTAAAACAGGAACTGTCTTTATTCAGCAAGTTCTAATGACTTGGTTAAATGTAATTAGTGTTCTGTTGTAGATAATTTTAGCAGGAATGTTGCTATAAACCTTTTTCCACAACTGCAAACCTCCCTTGTGCTTTACAGTGGGCTTACAGCTACTGCAAATTCCCTATCAGTTTGGGCCAAAGCCTCTAGCTTCTGTCCTGTAAATTTTATAGTGCTTTTATATGCAAAACATTGCAGCATTTTGGAAACATTAAGATAATAGTATGACTCACTTTAGTGGTGGTCTTATTTGGTTTTATATTTAAATTTGTTTCATTTAAGAATTGAAGCTTCTAAAATTTTCTGTCACTTAAGACTTGTAGAGATTAGAGGCTTGTGCTATGCAGTACAAGCTGTTTAATTTCTTGGGTTTTTTTCCTTAGGGAAGTTAAAGAGGGGACCAATAAATTGAACATGCAAGTGCAAACCTACTCACATTTTTGTTTTCTGCAGCTGTCCTCATCTGTGAGTTGATAATCTTTATTAAATATCAGAGTTGGCTGCTGGTTTATAATAAAGCCAAACCAAACTGTTATGAAGCAAGCTTGGGATTCAGTAGGCTTTGTACTGCTCAAGACTCAGGCCAGAAAAGCTGAGGGATTACATTGCCAGGTCTGGGACAAGTTAAAGATGCTGGCATGGATTTTTAGGAGGTCTGCCATCTTACCTGCACTTTTCAAGAAAACAGGGAGCCATCCAACAATCAGACACTGGTACCTTACAACTCCCCACTTCAGTGTATTGAGCTGGTTGGCCTTTCCTAGTGTTGGCTGAAAGATGGATGCTGTTGCATTTAAGCAAAACTACATTAAGACAAGTAATTTACTAGAGTTTCGTATTAATGCAGTGTAAAAGCAGAAGCAGATTAGGAGGCTGCATGCAATTTCTAGGTGGTTTTGTTCAATGATTAGTATACTTTGTAATAATCTTGGGTGAGATCAAACCCTATTCAGAGCCAGGAAGTTGCATTGTTCATTATGTCTGTAAGGAAGCTAATCCTAGGGGTTAGCCAGACTGGAAAGCAAATAGTATGTGTAAGAGGCCTGTCTTGAGAATTTATGCTGTTAGTAGAGAAATGGGAGTCAAGTAGGACTCAGGCAAAAAGCTTTTGAGGTAAAAAGGAAGGGTTAAATTTTCTCTGTGCTATAAGGGTTGGGCTGTGGACTGGGCTTCCTGCCCCAGCCCATTCTTCCCATTTTGTACAAGCTTTATTCTGTAAAGCAGGTGCTGTACAGAACAACCCATGGAGGCAGCTGAGTGGTGTGTGCTGGTCACTGGAGCTGGGACAGATCTGGCCTGGGTAAGGGGAGGAAGGCACTTCCAGCTCTGCTGCTCTGGCAGGTACAACACAAGCCCCCACCATGACTTCTTGCAGGAGGCAGTGCTGTCCCTACTCTGTAACTCCCCACACCTCCTCTTGGTGCAAATGTTCTGGGCAGCCTCTTTTCCTCTCCTCGGGTGCAGGAGGGAAACAAAAGCACATCTGCTCTGCTGTTTGTGTTATGACCATAAAAAATAGATGATACCGTGGTGCTGCTCCTGTTTACACCAACAATCTATCAGTCATGCCATTGGCCATTTGTCAAAAAACAATTTAGAAGCAGAACAAGTCCAAATGCAACAGAGTTTAAAAAACCCGAACTTTATTGTTATTATGTCAAAATAATTTGTATTTATACACAAATAAAGAAATTATTATAAACTTAATAGATTTTGCTTTAATAATCTGATGCATATTAGTACTTGGCTCCTCAGCTTCCACTGGCTTTTTAAAAACACAATTCATATCCTCCATGTGTTTTGGCCTAAATTTATAGCCAGTTCTAAATGCTCCATCTACCAGAAACCTCTGCAAACAGCATGTACTTTGTGCAGTTAAGTCATAACAAAGCCATTCCTGAGGTGTACATGCTTGTTGGACTGACACAGCACCACTGTGCAAGTGGCTCACTTTGTTGTGAGCTCCCAAGTACCAGGAGAGATGTGCACTGAAGAAGAGCAAGTGAAGGTACAAGTCCCTTCTGCATTTGCTTTTTTATTTCCAGGCAGTTTTGTGTGAAATAGTTAATTTCATAAAGCCTTACATAACTGCATAATGAAGAGGCAAGGAAGACAATGTAATGTTTGTGCTAAAATCCTTTACATCAGTGTTTTCTTAATCTCTCTACAAGTACTCATTATGCTTTGGACCCACTGGTTATTGTAGCATTCAGCTCATGTTTCCAGTAAGTTGGCAGTAGCTTGGGCGCCTCAAAGGCATTAAGCAGTTTTATTTTCTGGCCCTCGTCTAAGCTACTGAGAGAAAGCTAATGATCTTTAATTGCCAACATCAGTCTTGGGAGTTCAGGACAGAAGTGTAAGAGCTAGCTAGAGGTGTTAGCCCATTCCCTCTGGCCTGGATAAATGGCCATGTTTTCACCTGTGATGGGCAGATAGTGGTATCCTGAATATTGTAAGCTCTCCCTTTAAATTATTTGAACCTTCTTCCAGGCTTCTCTCTGATCATGACACATAACTTGGAAAGAATACAATCATTCAGTTATAAAGGATCTATAAAAGTATCATCATGATTTGGCATTACTGTTTTTTGGTGGAGTACCACTGGGAAGTTCTGCAGGAGTCTCTGTTCATAGGATGGGTATCAGTGGCTGTAAGCAGCTCATTGTTTATACATGCTATGTCTGTCTGCATTTTCATCCTAAGCTGTGTGCATGTGAAGTCATTGTAGTTGCTTTCCTACAGGTTTCATTCTCTAAAGGCAATGGCTTTACATTGTTTTGCTTTTTCTACCTAATCTGTCTTGGGGGAAGAGTCACACACAACTTTGAGAGATCAGAACAGTATTGGCTGTCAAATTCTTAACAAAATCAACAGATGGGAGTGGTCCTTAACACGATGTTATATTCACATTTCTGCTGTGCATTCTAGAATTTAATACTCAGGATAATTTCTACTTAAAGATTTTCAGGGAAAAGGTGAGGAGTCAGTGCTGAAACTGATTCCTAGGTTTGGCAGTCTCACCAGTTTGCACTGGGCATGTCACTTGTCCTCTCTGTTAATTTCTCTCTATCCAACCGAGAGGATAGTATCTATTATGGAAGGATGTTTTGAATAGCATTTGTAAAGTGCTTTGAAGATTAAAAGTGCTGTTCAAATGTTCATAAATTATGCTGCATTTCTTGCAAGATGAATAGATTATTGATTCTGATTTTGTCACCTCATTTCAGAGTTGTTAAAAAAATAAAGATCTACAGATAAGAAATGCTATCACAGATTTTCACCAAAAGAAACCTTTAAGCTAAGTACCAACTTAACTAGAAAACAAGTATCTCTGGGACAAAACAGAGATGTCTGTATGCATTCCTTAATATATGGAAACTGATAAATTTGCAATATGGCCTCTGCAAAATGTAGGTTTAGGCTAAACTTCACACTCCGTAAGATTTCTCTGCAAGAAATTTTCTGACAGTTCTGTGTGAAAATCCATTTCAAGAGCTAAGTCACAGGCAAGGTCCACACATATTATGTTAAACTTACACAAACACTCTGCTAGCTGCAGAACAGTAAGTGTGCTTATGGCAGGTGTAAGTACTGCCTCCAGTTTGCTTTCTGAAAAAAACTACTTTTTAGTTTAGTAATTTTAGACAGTTTGGGGCTTCAGTGTTAAGACAGGCCTTTCAAGATATATGCAGTGGACCACATCCTCCGCTGGCACAAGCTGCAAATGGCTTCAGCAGAAGTGCCAGCATCCTCTGGGTTGCTAAGCTTGTCTTTGCCACCCAACTTAGAGTGATACAAGATGTATCACAATCCACAGCTGACATTCTCAAACTTGAGAAAGAGTAAGTGGAAAAAGTACCATCCTACCTTATTTTTTCCTTCATGCTGAAGCAGCATTAATCTCAATTGTCAGCCTATTTCCATAGTTAATAGCTAGCTTTAGTCAAATGCTAAAAAGAGATTGGGTATTGAGTGGTACCAATTTAGTGCTTATTGCTGCAGAGCCACTTGGGAGATTGTGTTGTGTTATCTCTGTGGTTTCTGTGTGACATAACTATCTCGGCCACTGCATGTCAGATTAGAAATCCTGGGTATGTGGATCCTTTGTTCAACTATCAGCACTCTCTAAGCTGGATACTTCTTCGGGTACCAGCAGAGCCAAGTCCTCCCCATTCCAGCTTGTGCACAGAAGCCAGCTGTAAGACAAAGATAAGACAGGTATCTTTAGCTGAGATAGTTCAGTATAGCATGCTGATTCAGCACCAACAAACACACAGGCTAGCTCTCTGCAGCCATCTTCTGTGGCACAAATGTATCTTAGTGAACAAAAGCAGTGACACTATTTGCCCTAATTACACAAGTCAGACAATATCATTACTGCTGCCTTTGAGCACAGTACTAAACTACTTTGCATGTTACAGACTGGAACAACTACCTTTCTGCTCTCCAACTGCAACACTGAATGACACCAAAAAGAAAGGGTCAGATATCTGAAACTGATAACAGAAGAGACTTTCTCTGCTTCCACTGAACTAAACTAAAGATAATACTTAAGAGAACAAGTATTTACTGTGCCTTTGTTAATTTAACTGAATTTCTCAATTACTTTATTACTTTACTGGAAAGTATTCTTCTTACATGCAAGACCCCTTTGCTTCAATTCCCTCAGGTCTAAGACCCATTACTACTTTACATTACCATTAGAATAGTCTACTCCTACTTTATTATAATTATTTACACAGTCTTTACATCTTCTGTAAAGACTGTAAATAATTATAATGAAACAGGAATAGACTTGAAATTATGTGAAATGGTCTAAATCTACACTGCCTATTTGAATCTTAAAATGCAGCTGATGCAGAGATAAAAGGAGACCGAGGTAAAGTCTTAGGAAAAAATATGCAAGTCTCCAGCCAGAGTGCCACTCTCTTAAGAAAAAACAGTTTTTTCCCCCAACTGTAAATCTGTCTAATGAAAAGGGATTCCTCTGCCATTTCGATTTTTGTTTCAGCATCCTAAAGAAGTAATTTATAGTGGAAATAATTTTTGCTTATGAGTACTCGTGAATGGTATTTCACTGTCCTTGCTACTAGATGGTCACTAGGTATGATTAGACACAACTTCTATAGAGGCCTTTATTTAAAACATGTTTAGAAGTTTATTCTTTTGGGCTTTAAAATCTTTTACAGGTTTTAATGGCAATGGGTCACAATGTACCCATGACCAAAGACCAGGACAGACAGGTTTCTATTAAACCCAGTGGGTGACTGTCATGTTTATAACCCTCATTAGCATCTAGAAGAGCTCAGATTGCAAAATTAAGTTCAGGGAAAGGTTTTCCTGGAAGAAAGACCAGGTAAAGGTCTCAAACCAAGGGAAGTCACGTGCAGTCAAAGGGTATGGTGTATCCCACTGGCAGTGCATTCAGTTATCTTCAGTTTGGGGGAAATTCACAGCACAGAGCTGAGGGAAAGTGGCTGGATGAGAGAAAAGGTGTGAAGCTAGAGCCACTACAGCACACTTGCAGATAGGAAAGTTTGAGAACTACCACATTAAACTATTCAGCTTCAATTCATGTCAAAACAGAAATTACTAGCAAAGCCAGTCAGAAGAACCCTCCTGATCTGTACTTACCACAGGACAGACAGTGGAATTAGACAAAGGCCTGCTGATAGGAGGAAGCTAAAGCCTGAAAACCATGCAACAGTAGTTGCATAGAGAATATTAAAAACTGAAATTGACATTGTGCCGGTCACAACTTCTAAACAGGCAATACAAGCAAACACAGCACCTGCCAAAAATAAATGGGCAAATTACAAACAAAACAAAACCAAACCAAACCTCTTCAAAGTACTGAAGTTTTTAAACATGGTTCAAAAGATACATCTGTTGACAGTATTTTTGCAAGTTACAAGCACTAGGCAATCATACTTTGCTGTGAAAACCGTGGCAACTCCTACAAAATGCTAGTTATTTTAAATGAACAAAAACCCAACAAATAACACATTTTGTTGATGGAAACTATTTTTCTTTCCTATTATTCTGTCACCATGCCTACTTTCTTGCATTTGCTTATCACATCAAGTTTAACCTGTTCATCCTCACTAACCATGTTGTGCACATTTCCATCCTTTACCCCTTCCAGTTCTCTTCATTTTACTTTTCCCTTTCTTGTTTCTTCCTTCTCTAACCTTCACTTTTATATGTGGAAAATACTGATTCAACGAGGACTGCTAGTTCAGCTTAAAACCACTGCCTTCTCATTTTTGAAAAGAAACAACTTTTTTTGGACTGAACTACCCTTTGGGATGGCAGTCTATCCCACAAGTGTCTTGTTGAACACATTTTCTGGAGCTTCATTCATAGTCACAGAACCATAACCAAAATCACACTAGGTAAGCAGAAAAGGATGACAAGAGGCAACCTGATTGCTTCATCAAACTACTCAAATAGCCAAAGCCCTGAAGAATGCCAAGAAACTCAATACCAGAGGTGCATTTTGGCACAGCTAGTAAAAGAGGTCCTTGTTTTAGTGTATGAAGATTAATCTTTTAAAAAGTAAAACACAGCAACTCAGGAAAATGTTTCTAGAAAGTATATGTTTCCCAAAATCTAGAAAATACACACTCCCCAAAAGCAAAATATGGAATATTAGAGCCGTATTTTGAGGCCTGACATGCTTTTTTCTGTGTTCCATAAGGAAATTACTTTGAGAAGTATTATGTTACATTTCTAGGGATATGTTTAGAAGCTACAAGCCTGAAGCTGGGGTCCTGCTCCATAGCTCAGGATACAAGTCTAATTGTTTTCAAGTGCTATGAAGATTGACCACCTACTGCTTACCTTTTTAAATTAGTAAGTGAGAAATTGACTAAATAACATATTTTTCTCTGCATGCTAAATCTTGTGAATGTAGAAGCCCTTGTGAAACACTTGTATAAATCTTGGGCATTCCCTGCTTCAAGTTTCCCATGGTCTTTAATTTAAGAACAGTATTTTGTTTGAAAGTTGAAACTTGCAGTACTTTTTAACACAGTATTGTTTATATTTAATTCAGAACCAGAAACCATTAATGTCAAGACACAGGCTTATATTATACAGAACTTGAAAGAAAAGGAATCTTAAAGTACCATTATCTGTCTGTTTAAAGGTAATCTTTGTGCATCTCTGTTCAGAGGCACCATATTATTTTATTGTTTAAAAACAATTCTACTTACCCTGTTCACCAGGGAGAACCACTTTTGACAGCATGGATCGGAGAACAGGAATAGGCATAAAGCAGAACAAAGATGGCACTCTCACTGTAAAGCAGCCATGAGACATTGAACTAATTAAAATCCAGGGATTTACAAATATATTGCAACTGCATTAGTCATACACTTTTGAACACTTAGTTCCCCAAATAGTAAAAGGCAGCAGAAAAGTCAGACTACTAGTGCACTGAGACACAATTCTCCAAGAACAGAGAAATTTATAAATCAAGTATATTTCTATGGCACTAAAACCATAAGCAGGTAATTCCATTGTTTCTCCACGCAGTTCATCTTTTAATCAAATCCTAGATCAGGCTGATCACCCATCTATATTTTACCTCTCTGTGACCCTTTCAAGGTGGCACATTCAATATCCAACAACTGCATTCACTACAGATAACACAGCAGTATTTTCATATACATTGTTGACCATAGAATAACTGATTCTGAACTCACCTAAAAACATGAGCAGAGTAGTTTTGGCAAAGGCAGCCATGATCATTCCTCCAATGTAAGAACACATCCCAATAAAGACAATATAAATGTCTTTGAGACATTTGGAAAATAAGTAAACTCCTAAAAAGCTGGTCAGTGAGACAGAAGTGGATGCAGCTGCTCCATATCCAATGTATACTTCATTCCAGCAGAGTGGCTCATCCAGTTCATACAGTGTAAAAAGTGAAGTCCCACCCAGCACAGTAAACAAATAAGTCATAAATGTAAAAAGTAACACAATTATTAAAATTCTCTTTTTATAAGGGGCAGTTTGAAAAAGCATGTACACTCCAGAAAATGTCTCCCTAAGAAGGTCTTTCCAGGATACTGGTGCTTCATGCTGGAATTGAGATACACCTACGGTATCTTCCAGAAAAAATACAATATAGATTATATTAATGACATGGAGCAGAGATGCTATCACAAATGTCCATGCAAAGCCTATTCCTCTTAGAAAGTAGCCAGATGACAATCCTGCCAATCCAGATACAACTCCAAAAATCAAATCCACTACAGCTATTCGTGTTGTTTTCTGCTTCTCATCATGACACTCCTCTGCTATGTAAGCAAAGCCTCCTCCAAGGAAAGTTGCTATACTCCCAAACAGTCCAGAAATAAATGCAAATGCAAATAGGACAGAGAGTGACAAGGAAAAATATGATATTGCAGTGAAGCTAATACTAGAAATCAAAGCTCCCATTGATGGTAAAACTAAAGACCTTTTGTGTCCCTGGCGATCCCCATTAGCTACAACGACAAAGGCAACTATAAGGCTGGGAATGGCTCTAGTTAAGTCCAACTGCATAATAAAAACAGAGGCTTTTTCTTGAACTTCCTGCAAAGAGAAAATAAAAATAATTGTAAATACTATAATAAATTGGGGAAAAAATCTGTCACAATATTGCTTACATAATTATTAGTATGCAATATAATGAATATCACTGTGCATGTTTACAGATTATAAATTATACTATTATAAAACATAATACATGCAATGTAGTTTTATAACATTCTATGACATTTTGATATACTAGGCTATATACTCTATATATAAAACATGCATATTCAGACTTTTGTAATTCGATCTTCAATATTCCTCAAACATTCCCTGTTACATTTTAACCCAAAACTTAAAGCTGAAGACACAGTCTTACTAGTACTGTTGACAGAGCAGTTTCAATGCAGACAGGAGAACTATCCTTTTGAACTTGTACTTAAAAGAGCTGTAAGTATCTTTAACTGCAACTATCTCCTTCAACACAGGATATGGCAAAACAGCACTGGGCTATTTTAATACTACTCAGAAATCAGTAGTAAGCCAGTCACCGATTAAGGAACACACTCAATGCTCCCTCTTCACAGGAGCTCTTTTTTCCTCCCAAATAATTCTGCTGAGGGGGGTACAAAGAAGAATTAATGGACTAGAGCACACTATGCAAGTAAACAGATCACAGTTTGCTCTGACATCCCACTGTACAATCTTACTAGTACTATTACAAACAGCAGTAACAACCAAAAAAGTGAAATACAGGTTTAAATACTGTACTGACTCACAGGTACATGAATTAATGGATTTTGCAAACACTGTAAAGCTCTGGGTTCAGGAATTGTCCAAATCAGTGATGTCTCTACACATACACCACAGCAGGTATTCACATAAGGAACAGCAGCTAGCACTATAAAAATAAACACCCTTTATGGGAAAAATTTCAGACTTCTTTTTAGCAGAAGTATAAAAATTAAATGTGACTGAAAACCAACCATTTAACAGAGCATGGATGCCTGCAGAAAAAAAGAACTAAAGAATATTTAATTGAAAAGAATTGTTTTGAAGCCAGCTGCTAAAGGACCCTCAGCAAGCAAATTCTGATCTTGTTTTTAATGCAGATATGAGAGTACCTGATAAGTGTAGCCACAACAGCTCTTTCAACGACAGCCACCTGATCAGACAGTAGGGGAAAAGGAAGCAACTTTATTCATACAAACCCTTTATACTAGCTAAAACAAAGTTTCAGATGCAGAGAGCAAAGTCTTGTTGAAAGTCTTGGAGTTTTCTGAGGCACAACACTGACTTGGGCAGGCATTGTGCTCTTCAATCAGCAACAGGCACACTTCTGCAAACCTGCCCACGCCATTCTCAGCCTGTATTCAAGCCATCTATACTCCACATTTCAGGTGTCTCCTATGTAGCTAGCATAATCCTGACTGAGTAGCATCCAAAATCATGAAAAAGCCCTAAAACTTACAGGAATGTACCTGGGGAATTTTAAAAGCTGCTGAATGCTGTATAAATTTGTATTTATATTTACAGGCAGAGACCATGAGTTTCTCATTCAATCTCTTCCTTTGCTTACAAGATACCAGGCTTTATTACAAGAGGAAAATCAACTGATCCTGAGGTTGCCAAGGAAAGCCTTCAAGATCCCCAGCCCTCCAAAGTCTTTTGCTCCCTTCCCTTATGGTGTCTGACTGCCTGATCATTCATGACATCCTGGTAACTTGCCAGCAATGCTGTCACCCTGGAAGAGTCAAAACCATGAAGACTGAACAAACTGAGTTGGAAAACATTATTCTGATCTTTAACTCTTCTGCTGCTGACAAAAATAACTCTATGTAGTCACAGACATTGCTTCTTTACTAGGATTGTCTTGTTCAAAGCCATGAGTATCAAACAAATGCTACTATGTTAAAAGTAAAATTAAATGTTAATAAGTATCATCTCAGCCCACATGAATGATATAATACAGAGATTATTGCCAGACCATAATGAAGTGTAAAGGTGAAAGAAAGAAAAACCCAAAACTTGGGAAGAAGTTGTGCAACACACAAAACATGGCTTCACATCCAGGTAACACACGTGAGCATGAACATGCTGAGATAAAAAACTTGATGTCTACTGAAAAAAAGACTACAGACATAAGTACAGGAAAAATCCATTTAGAGTGTAAGGCATGCGACTGTTCAGTCTCTGGTTTTATGAAGCCAAAGGAAAAGAATATAAAAAATGATAGGTCAAACCTTCAGCTTCTTTAAAATCACATAACTCCATTAAATAATCAATGGAACTACATATATTTGAAGGGAAAGGTATAGGTTTTCAATCTGCAAATTCACTCTACTCTGAAAAATTACTCACAGGGGACTGAAATAGGTATTTCAATCACCTATTTCAAAATTAAAAGAACAAAAATGAAGAAGCAAGTAACTTATATAAGGATTAAATTAAGAGAGAAGGGCAGCACCTGAGATTGAACAATATAAAGGACATATAAAATCACAGGCTGATAAGATAAAATATTACTGAGTAGGAAGGGGAAATTAATGGATTGTATAATGAATCAATGGGATGATAAACAATGTTTAATGATTAATAATACAGCTCTTTCTGAGATATTAAAAAAGGATTATCCAAGTTGGTGATCAGAATGCTTCAGTTTACATCCATATTACCTTCAAACTCACTTCATTATGACTATCTTTTTCAAATTGTAAAAAATAATCTAAATTTTGTGAAGATGAACCATTTTGAACTATATTCTACTTTTTATGCAGGCTCCAAGTGATTTTTGTCTTCAATTTCCTTTTACATTTTGCTTTGAAATAGGTGAGATTCGTATAAAGCTTCTTCATTCTCAGAACATAAGGACTTACACTAAATTAACTGTTAGTAGAGATGTTCTTTTAAACATTAATGCCAAACAGGGCCTTACAGCAACAGTTACAACATCTAATAAACCTAATTCAGTTAGATTTAGGTTAGGAAGGTCTTGGAAAATCTGGAACACCTACTTCACACTTCCTTGTGAAAGGGTTTGGAATTAAGTTACTGGATCTACTCTTTGGCCCCCTCACATGATTATAACTCAGCACAGAGGCCCATTTGCACTTAAATTAATGGGTGTTTTGAGCACCTACATTGTTACACTATGGTAACTAGTGTGGTATAAAAATGCAGCAAGGCATCCAGACAAGAGTGTAATTGTTCAAAAGCTCATGCCCTACTGGCAATCACTGAAATGCAGGGAACGGAAATTTGGCAGGAAAGGGAAACGAAGAAGTTCTGTTGGCCTTTATTCAACTGCTGTCTTGAAGGACTCATGTTCTCAAATATCAAATTAACTATAATTTGTAAGCAAAAGACCTGTAAAGTGTGAATATGTCATCAAATCAGAGATGCTATCTAAACTTCAGCTGAAATGAAGCACTCTGCTTCAGTGTTTTGAGAAAAAAAAATGAAGTCATATCTTGAACCATAGGTGATGGCAATTTGAAAGTCAGGTTGAATTTCAGGGGGTTGCAAAATGCAAAGATGTATTTGAAACGTTGATTTCTTGATGGGCTCTGCAATTAGAATTGTATGCTTAGAGAAAATTGCCAGACACAGCATCAAATGGGGAGCTAATACTAAACAAAACACTTTTTGGGAGTAACATACAAGCATTACTCCAACAATAACTGGTGAGTACCTCCATGGGTCAGCCCAGAAGCCATGTTGGACCACAGTTCTATTGACCTTTTCACATTTTTTCTATGAGACCAGCTTCTGTCACATGACAAAGAACATATACCACACTAGAAGTCCTGAATTATTTCTTTAATCACCTTCACTGGAAGCATGTTCCATTAGCAATCTCCTTTTATATATGACAAATGAGGCAGATAAGCTCAGGCATTCAGTCTTTTCAGACTTGCACATATGCAGCACATCAGAGATTCAGATATGGGATGTGAGCAAAACTTTTCAAGTACCAGCTTTTCAGCAGTGTAAGGGAATGCCAATTGACTCTTTCTGTGACCCCAACTTCTGTGTAATTTACACAGTGAATCATTTACTTTTCTGGCCCTAAAGTGGTTTCATCTTTCACTTTATCCAACTCAACTGCCAGTTGTTGTTGACAAGTATGGTGCTATTGCACCTCTTCTGAAAATATGTTCCCTCTGCTGTTCTCATGTTAGACACAGAAATCATGTGGCCACTGAGTGTGCCAGAGCAGTGTATTGCTTCAGGAAAAAAATCCCAACATTATAAAAACAACAACCCCAAAACAAGAGATGAGCTTTCTGTTGAATCAGTGCCCCACTCAAATCCAAACCATAACCTCTAACTGCAGAACTGCAAGACACAACAGTGGGGTGAGAGGGGGAAGGGAAATGGAGAATGACCATCTCTTCTGCTGGCAGCTCTCAGCCAGCTCTGCTTAAGTGTAGCATTAAAACTGCACTGGAAGTGCAATGGAAGAGGTGCCAGTCAACAACTAGCTATCCAGCACACTGAACTATGGAAAAGTGCTAAAAATGTAACTGACCATGGGATCCCGTCATGCTGACGTCCTTGTATTCCAGCAAGGCACACTAGTGCTCTGAATGGCAAACCATCAACCGTATTTAATCATGTAAAGATCAGTTAAAATTTTTTTCCTCGTTTTAAAACCACAAAATTTTTAATTTCCTCTGTTCCTCATTCTTGTAATTCCTCTGAAACACATGTATTTTAAGCTAGATACTGTTCTTCAAAATTACAGCGCATTTGCTAAGCTTCACTCGGTTACAAACAACAGTAGGAGCCGCAGACAACGGGCGGCTCACAAACACAACACGCACAGTGGTGTGGGAGGAGGAGCCTCCACCTCCACTTGTACCCGCGGTAATGTCAGCCCAATGCTAATTTGGTCCCCATTCTCTCAGGCGATCTTCAACTCCCGCTAAAATACGAATTTATCTCAGTATCTTCCTGGAGACAAATCTTTGTCTTTAAAGCACTGTCTCTACCTACAGCATAACATTAGAGCGAGGAGACAGTGAAGTGGGAGCAGGTTACAAAACTACGGCTTTCCGCAGAGTTACAGGTCAAGGTTATGAAACAGGAGGTTATACTGAGGCAGCACCTCCTGGCAGCAAGTTTATTTACAATTATTATTCCTCCCCCGCCACTTGCCTTCTGTTTGATATAAGCCGGGCTGCTCTTATTCTGCTCGCAGTGACTGGCATTGCTGTCGCTGATAAAAGTGGAGTTGTACTCCTGCTCCCACAGCCGCCGGTAGATGAACTGCTGCACCAGCGGGGTCGTCAGGGAAAACGCAAACACGTAGCAGAAAATGACGGGCTCCACGCACAGAACCTTCCTCATTTCTGGGTCTGGGCTTCAAACCCTGCGCCAGGAAACAAACCGCGAGTGCTCAGAAGGTGGAAGCGAAAGCCCCGGGCGGCAGCGGGCTCGGTGACAGCCCCACGCACGGGGGCCGTGCTCCGCCAGCCCCGTCCCGTCCCGCCGGGCTGTCCCCTGCGCACCGGGCCCGTCCCGCAGCGCCGGGACATCGGGACACCGGGGGCGGGACGGGGGCGGCCGTGTCCCTCAGCGGAGGAGCGTCCCCCGCCGCGCCGTCACCGCCCCCCGGCCGCCCAGAGGACGAGGCCCGGAGCGGCCGTCCCGGCGCTGTCCCCGTCAGGGCCCGGGAGCGGGGCGAGGCGCTGCGGCGGGCGGAGCCTGACCGGGCCCGGGGCCGAGCGGGGTCCCTGTGCCCGCCCGCGGCTGCCACCGCCGCCCTGCTTGTCCCCACGCCGGGGGCTGCTGCCGGAGGTCAGCGCGCGTCAGCACCGTGGCCATGCCAGCAGCGCTCCCCGGGCCCGCGGCGTGCTCGGGCTGCTTACACAACGAGGATCTGCGCTGTCAGCGGCATCGCCGGCCTCGTTTAGCACCGCCAGCCCGGCCCGCAGCTCAGCCTGCGCAGGTGGCCGTGCCTGGCCGAAGGGGAGCCCACGGCGTGCTGCTCTCCCGTGCTGCCGAGCGCTCCGCTCTCAGCTGACAGAGCTTAGGGGTTTTATTACAGCCGCTCCCCTTCCGTGGGCTCTCGGCTTGTCAGCGTGTGTAAACGCAACATTTGTTAGCCACCAGCCGGTCTCTCATTAATAGAGGCATAAAGCTGTGTAGGTTGGATAAGATCTCTAATATCATGAAGTCTAACCATTAACCCAGCAGTGCCAGGAAGAGATAGATCTCGCTCTCTGGGTCGGGCATTGCTGGCGCAGGGTATCAGGGGAAAGGCTGTGAACAGCTTCTGTCGCTGTGAGCACCTGCTGGGGCACCTGCTGCATTTCCGCATGAAAGGTTGTGCTGATGCAGACCCGCAGTTGTGCGGTTCAGATACGGCCTCTGCCCGCCCTGCTGTGCGCGGCATCCACAGCACGGCGAGCACACAGCTCTGCACTCTCCTCCCAGGAGAGCACCGAGTAATGGCTCTGCCCTTGTCACAGGTGTGGTGTACCAAGGAGAGGTGACACAGCCAGGGCATCCTGAAGGACCACCTTTCAGTCTTAAATACTGGTTCTCAGTCACAAGTACTGCAAAAAAGTCCCTTTTGCTAAAAGCACATCAGAACTTCAAAGTTTCCCTGATGTATTTGCTCTATTAAAATAAGAAGAGCAGTTTAGAAACTTCATGAAAATTGAGTTCCTTAATAAAGTGATTTGAAGACAGATTGTCCATAATGTGGGTCATATGATCTTGAGCAATGCTTTAACTTGTTCACTGCCATGTGACATGTCATTCAGTCCCAAATTTAGGGACAACACTGGTTTGTCAAGTGTCTCCTAGCACAAGATCAACCCAGCGTACCAGCTCAGTGGCCTTGATCATTTACTTGAGCTTCTTTGGTCTAGCATATAGGCTTGCTCACAAAGGCACACAGACAGGCTGATTCAAAAAAAGGGCTACTCTGGCATGAAATCAGCTTGTAGAGAATGGTGTCCTTCTCCTCAACCTGGCCAAGTCCAAAGTCTGACTCATCCTGTGACAGCATGTTGTTTGTCACAAGGTAAAGCCAAAACAATCATGCGAGGCTGTTAGGTGAGAGAGGCTGTTCAGGTCACTTGTCCAGCTGTTAACATTTATTCGAGCAGGGTGAAGAAGGGATTTTAAGCCTGTTGGAACTTCCTTTTGTTCCACAGAGGGATATTGTCCAGAGGCCATTAAGTTTCTTGCCAGATCCAGCTGTGCTAAAGAGCCTGTCACTTACAAAGGAACACAAGTGTCTGGGTGCAGTCCAGGTTGCTGACCAAACTTGTTTTAATGCACAGCTCCTTCAGAACAGCCTTCCCAGAGCCAAAGAGTGGAGCTGTCCATCTGTGTTCTGGAGAGGTCCTCTGCTTCTCTCCTTCCTAGTAACTGTGTTTAAGTTAGGGCTTGGGTTTACAGAGCCAAGTGGCTCCAGCAAAGCTGTGATCTCACCAGTGCTGAAGGCAAAGCTGCAGCCTGAGCTGCTCACCTGGAAGCGCCTTTTTACCTTTGTGCAGCAGCTCGAAGCAACAGCTGTTTGTGAATATTTCCCAGTGCTGACACAATATATTCCCCTCAAGCAGGTGCACTGGGAGAGACTTGGCCCTCATTTGTTTCCAGTCTCCCTCACTGCAAGGAGAACTAAAAGCAATAGATACGATTGGGCTTTTAAGATCATACCTAGTTGGGTGATGCTTATTCTTTGAAGTTGAGCATTTCCAAATAACACAATACATGGTAAGCTACCTTCCACTGTCCCGTGCCACCAGCATTCACACTGGCCCAAATTTGAGTGACATGCCCATGAACAGACTTCACAAAGATCCCAGGCATGTGGTGGCTGGAGCTCTGCAGTTTGCACTGGTTTGCATTTTATGACATCCTCAATGTGTGAAGAATTGAACATTCTTTTGATGAAGACATTTTGGAAAAACACTTTGCTGAAATATTTTGCTGAAAACATCAGTAGTGCTTTACTAAATAATATTGACATGTAAAATGTAATTTTAATTCCTTCTGAGAAGTACTTTTTAAAATTGAGTTGGCTTTAATTTACACTGCTAACAATCTACTGAGAACCTTAGCCCTCTGCATGTAATTTATGGATTACAGAGTAACATTACTGTACTGTTTGTACTAATGTTCAACTCATGTTTTCAAGGCTGTCTTGAGAACAGTGGTTAACACAAATTTTAAAAAAGAAACCTAAAAAGGGAAGAGAAGCACATTTTTGGCAGATAGTTTTATATGAAATGCAGTTCTGCAGAAATCTTTCATAACCTGTGTCATGCCCATGAGCAGGGCAAACAAAGATGTATGAAGGAAGTTCTCCAAATATTGAAGGAAGAAAAAGAGAGTAAGTAATGCAATTCTGCAGAAGCATACCTAAGTTTAGATGTAACTGTAACGGTGTGGGCAACAACATCCCACTGACTTTGTGTTCCTGAAAATGGGGTGCTCTGAACACCTCTGTCACAGCACCAGCACTACTGTTAACATTCGTCTTGATGCCATATGGCACTTTTTACTCTTCTGAAGTGTTGTGTTGAAAATTTGTGCTTGTTTGAATCCTCAAGCATATCTAAGGCGTCAGGATATATTTATTTTTTCTGAATAAGAAAATCTTAACAGAACTGGGGTTCTTGCTGGCATCTTGTCTCACACACCACATAACAGCAACCATTTCTAAATGGTGTGGTGTATTCAGTAGTTCTGTTTTTCAGTATTTGCAAGTCCTCCTTGCTCATCCCTGATTATTTCATATGTCAGATTTAGTTATTTCCATTGAAAGCCCTTCACACTGGTGGGTCTTCTGTTTAGATGACTCAGTGGCGAAGAATTTAGCAGCTCCCTTTGGGCTGTGCTCAGGTGTAGCTTGTGCAGAGAGCCTGTTGTGGCTTTGCCCAGCCCTAAACAAAGCTACAAGGGTTACTAGATCTGCTGTGACTCGTTTTCAGACTACTTGAGGATTTGAAATTTAGTGCAGCTTCTTGGTTCTGTTTGAGGTGATTTGGTCTTTTGTTTTCCTTCCTGTTTTGCTTTCAATCGCATTTATGTTCTGGGCATGTGATAGCTTTTCACTGTAGATAGCTGATGTAAGTTGTTTTCGTCTGGCCGCGTTGCTTCATACAGAATTTCTAGTGAGCCATTTCCCAGCTCCAGTCCAGCACCTCTGGGAGATAACTGGTGGCGCCGGTAGTGCTGTGCTGCCTGCCCCTCCCTGTCCCTGCCTGGGCAGCAGGGGTGCCTTGGCAGGCCATGATCAGCAGCAGCAGCAGCCGCGCGCTGCAGATATTCGCGGCCGCCGTGACTCAGCAAAGCGCTCCTCGCCTCGGCCTGCGGCTCACCTCACCCTTGGCAGAAGCGGACAGAGGCATGCTTCTGCCTAACAGCGTCTTTTAATCTGAAACAGCAGCTTTCTTTCCTTCTTTCAAGTTTCGTCTGTTTAATGTAAACAGCTCCTTAACGAGGAACTGAAAGTAGGCAGCTGAGGCAGAGCTGGAGTGCCTGCCTCTGAGTCACATGCTGCTCTGTTGCAGGAGGCTGTTAAATTTCATCTGCTCTTAAAATCTTGCTAGAGCAAAGTTCTTTCTCCGTTTGTTAAATGAAAGTGCTTTTCATTCCTAGTAAGTTGTTGGTACTGTTGGCTGCGTTCCCTTTCCAGAGATAAGGACATCCACCATTGCCCTCCTGAGAAGAAGCAGCTCTTTGAGGAGCTTCACAAAGACCAGTACGCAGAATGCAGTGTGTTTAGGATACAAGCATTTAAGCTGATTATCATCAGGAAGGTGGTGACAGATGATGAGCTGTTCTCATCTTTCAAAGTCAGTGGGAGATTGCTGCTGTTCTCCCAGAGAATTGTGCATCAGGTTTGAGCCTGAGCAGCCCAGCTGAACTCTTGAGATCAGTGACAAAGTCTTCCTCACTTGAAGGAGTTTGAAATAGGGTGAGACTGTGTTTCTACCCCAGACATGGATTCCATGTGCTTTTTTTCAGTTTTAGATTCTCAGGGGAAAAAGAAAATATTTTCAAGGGTGAACCTGTGAAAGGTTTCAGAGGAAGCAGGACTCCAGTCTGCTTAGCTGTGGTTTAGGTGGTAATGGCGTTTTTCCTCCACCAATTGACCATCAAACCTATTCTTGACATTCAAAGCAGCAGGAAACATGGTTACCAGTCCTTATTCCTATCCATCCAAAAATACCCAAATACACCCTTACCCAGATTTTCCAAACATCTGCCCAGATCTGTTCAGAAAGATCTGCAAAGCGATGTTCAATATGTCCTGTTGCTTGAACTGGAATAATTCCTTCCCTGGCATGATTCTGTTGTATATTTGTGCACATAAACATCACTGGGTATTTATCAATATTCAATTCAATCAATATTTATCAATATTCAATTTTTTTTTTTTTTTTAATAGTTGCAGTAGGTCTGCTGGTGGTCTCTTAGGTGTCATAGAACAGCAGCAGAAAATTTCCTGGGTTATTTCCTGGGTTAATTCAGATTATGAAAAAACCTGAAGCAGATTTGTCACTTGTTTTCAGACAAGTGTCTTGCAAGATTTCTTAT